CTCTCTCTCTCTCTCTCTCTCTCTCCCGTTTCGAATTGCCGCTTTGGCCTGCTTACGCGGTTCCCGCCCCTTCGCCTCTGCGCTCGCACCCCGCTTTGCCCCGCTTCGAATTTCGTCGTCGTCCCTCCGCCCCTTCGCCTTCGAACCACGGTCCCGCTGGTCGCTTCGCAACTCCGCCTGGTGCCGCCCCGCCCGCTTCCGTTTTTGCGCCCGCGCCGCCTAGCCATTCCTTGCGTCCCCCTTCACGCCAGCCGCGGCCAATTTCCTCGCGCCGCCCTGCCCCGGACGGCCCCCGCCTCGGTTTACTGTCCCAACCCGGTTCCCGCCCTGTCCCCGCCTCCTACCGGTACCGCCCGGCTCCAACGATTTTGGCTGGGCCGCGACGGGGCATGTCGCCGGGCCCTCTCCATCCTTTAGTATGTATGTATAGAAGAAGACAGGTCCTTATGGTCCTGTCTCCATATCCATTGTGGGGAGCGTCCGTCCGGTTCCTATTCCTCCGGCAAGTCAGAATAACAGAATTAGTAATGGGGTCATTGTGGGGAGTGTCAGTCTGAATTACATCATTGCGCACACACAAACACCCTTCCATCTGGCCAAGGGGTCCCTGAACAGCCTTGATTGCTCCACTTTACCGGAGGATTGACTGTCAGCTTGCATTTCCCTGTAGTCCCTCTCAGGTTCCTCTGTGTGCGAGACCTGTCAGCTAAACATTCATGCAAGGAAAACAGATATCAGCAATTGAAGTGACCCTGAGCCGCCTCATGTGGCTCTGTTGAAGTTTTGTTGTTCAGACCAGTGGAAGCTTCTTGACCCCTGGGGGGCGGTAAAGTTGTGCCAGTCTTTCCATCGGATATGAAGTCCATGAACATCCCCCATCTTTCCTTGAACCAACCATACCCTCTTGAGCTTGGTTGCCAACTCTTGCTGCTTCTCTGGGTACTGATGAATTTTGGAGCCTGACCTTCTTCCATTGACAAAGGATGTCCGTTTCCATTAACAGTCTTGTTGTTGCCTGTAGCTCGTCACTCGGATTGCTGGACTTGTCTAACGTCCTGTTGCACCTCTCCTTCCATATGACCCAGAGTGCCACCTTTCGGATTATCCCGAACCAAATGCGTTCAGAAACTTCAGATTTGTTAAATTGGGCAGGGACGTTAGTCCATTGGCGTAGTTGGATTGGGTGTTGGGGAAGGGAGGAGGAGAATAGGTAGTCCCAGAGGACCGAGGCTCTCACCCAGTGGTCGGTAGCGTTCTTGCAGTTTATCAGGCAGTGTATCAGGTCCTCCTGTCCGTTGTCTGAGCACACCAGACATTGGTCTGAGCTATTTGGGTCGCTATTCTTCCTTCTGACATGTAGCCAGGTGTTCACGGTGCGAGGATCAGTGTCCTCGGGTGTAGGTGATGAGCAATTGAAGGCTTCCAATTTTGACTGGGCGTATTGACTTATACTTCCGCCATGGAAGCTCGGAGATTGGTTCCATTCTCTGTCCTAGCAGTTTGTTCCATCTTCCCCTTGATTGCAGGTTCACGGTCCTTGGTCCTTAGCAGCATCCTATAGTACCCCATTTTCACCGTGTACTGTGTCATGTGAATGGGGGTCTTGTAGAATCTATTATTACCTGAGGACCATGTCCATTCCTCTAGGTCGAATTCTACGTCGTGGATTGCTGTGTCTATCTGGAAGATAGTTTTCGGCCAGATGCCTAATACTCTTATTTTCCGGAGCGTGAAAGAATTCAGGGCTTATTCTTGTGGATCAATGTTGTGGATAGTAGGGGGCTTGGGGCTCGTACCGTCTATCGGGAAGGAGGTGAAGACTACTCCTAAGAAGTCTGAGCCAGGAGATCTGCGGGAAAATTGGTAAGCTCGCTCTGGTATTGTCTCCTGGGTCAGACAGAACTCTCCACTCTCCTGGTTTCCACGATAACTCCGCTTTACGTAAGCCCTTCCAACTGTCCGGGATGCTGTTGATTACTGTTGCCAGGTTTTCATCCCGGCGGTGGCATCCCTTCAATCGTCACTGGAGTCATTCCTCATCAATCCAGTCTTCTTCTTCTTCTTCGTTCGAACGGTGACTCACACACCATGTTGATTGGGCTTTGGACAGTGGCTATGGCTCTGATGCTGTCAAGAGCTAATTGATGCCATGCTAGCCTCGGTTGGGTCAGTAGCTTGATTATCCACTTGATCTGGAGAGCTTTGGTTTCCTGTTTGGGGTCGATTATCCCTAATCCTCCCTTCGACGGTCTCCTCGTTATGTAGTGCCAGGCTATCTTTGGTATCTATTTTGCTTTGCTGGGGTCACCTGACCATATGTAGGCTCTGGCTCTACGGTTCAATTCCTTGATGATTTGGTCGGGAATAGTCCAAATGGAGGCGATATACCACATCGTGGAAAAGATGGAGTTGTGACGGTTAGGGCTCTTCCTAGCAATGAAGTGAATGTATTTCCCCATCATCCCATTCTGTTGATCTGATTGGTCAACAAGTTTTGTGCCATTTGTGGGGAGGGGCCATCCTTGGTAACCATAATTCCCAAGTATCTCGTTGGTTTTCCGGTTTCTCTCATGTCATTTCTGCCTCGGGTCCATCTAATCATGGCGTCTCGTCCTCCGATAACCACCACCCAACCGTCTTTTTCCAGTTGATCTTCATTTCCGAAGCCAACCTGAAGGCTTCCATTGCCCTGACTAATGCTTTCATTGAGGAATCAGATGCCCTTATAAGGACCGTAAGATCATCCGCAAACATTATGACTGTTGGGAATTGTATATGGTGAGGGGAGCCAGTGTTGAGCTCTGGCAGCCTCTCGATAGAGGGATCCTTGCGATCCTTGCGTAAGAAGGAGGCAATAGCTTCCAAAACACATAGGAAGATCGGTGGGGCTAGGGGATCCCGTTGTCGAACTGAACGAGAAATCGGGTAGCGCTCAGACATAAGGCCATTGACCTGAACACATCCTGAAGCACCATTGTATAGGATCCTGACCCATTTTCTGAAGTAGGGTCGCACCCCCATTTTTTCCATGCTCGCATTGAGAAAGGCCCAATTAACTTGGTCATATGCTTTCTCGAAATCAAAGAATTTTTATTGTCGTGTTCAATCTCTTTTCCCTAACTTCCCTCGCTGCCTCGTTTAGAGTGAAGACATTGTCCAGAATGTACCTCCTTGGGATAACGCCGACTTGATCTATGTGAAAGCATTTGTCAGTGAGGTCTAGTATCCTGAATGCTAATGCTTTAGCTTGGATTTTGTAGGGGAGAGTGAGCAGAGAGATCGGCCTATAGTTTCGAATATCCTCCCGGTCCCCTTCTTTTGCATAGTAGGGTCACAACACCGCTGCTGAGCAGTTCTCCCATTCCTCCCTTTTCCCAATTATCTTCATAGAAGTGGTGGAGATCATTTCCCATCATGGGACATAACTTCTCCCATAATTCTTTGGCGAGATCATCAATACTTGGGGTTTGTCATTGTTCATGTTGTGACCTGCGACTCTCAATTCTTCTAGGGTGATCGGTCTGTCTAGTGCCTCTGCTTGTTTTGTGGTGATTGTTTTGTCGAGGAATTGAAGCATCTTTGCTCTCACTTCCCTTACCGACGTGCCCAGTTCCCAGTTTGTGCCAATTTATGAAGATATGGTTGTATCTATGGGAGGCTGGACCCGGTTTCCAGCAGGTGCTGCTCCCCACCAATAGATGGAGCTTGTTTTCGTGTAAAAAAAAAAAAAAAAAAAACTTCCCTTACCGACGTGGGGGAAGGGGAGGGAGTCTTTGTCTGGTACGGTTCTTGGTAAAAACCTTTGGCAATTTCCAACATCTCATCGCTGTCCGTTCTTGTGGACTGTTCGACCGACAACTCTTTGAGCTCTTCTATGGAACTTGAGCTGTTATTGGCTTTTATTCTTACGAAAAAGTATTTAGTCATTGATTCGTTCAACTCCTACTCAGTGATTCTAGCTCTAAGTTGAAGACCTCTCAGTTCCCACTGTCTCCACAGGGCCAGTTCTTCATGCGCCTTTTCGAAGGTCATGGAGTACACAGCCGAAGAAGGGTTGTTTGTCAGGTTGGCCTCATCAATTTTTAGTGATATTTCCAGAGCCTGTTTCCTATGTTTTTCATTGTTGGCCACTTTTCGTGAGATCCTTGCCACTGATTGGGACAGGGTGAGGTAGCTCTCTTGGAACCATTTCCATCTGTCTTGGCCATCTAGCCAACATTCTCGTACACTGTCGTGGAAGACCTGGCTTAGGAGAAGAGAGTTGTTCGACTTACGAATGTTGGCTCCTCTAGTGATATACTGGTCAAAGCTAAGGACCTACTCAATTGGTTTGTGATCCAGTCCCGCGTAAGATGCGAGCGCCAGGATATCGGCTTCCTTTACGGTTCCCATGAAGGATTCAGAGACGAGGAAGTAGTCAATCCAAGAGAAAGCCATGTGGTGTGCATGTTTTTTCCTGATCCAAAAGAATGTTTTTCTACCGGGTTACAGAGTGCGGAAGGGGTCCACTAAATTATGGTCCATCATGAGTTTAAGGATTGGTGCCGCTTCCTGAGAGGCTTGGGAGGCTGTTGCCCGAGAAATCCTATCGTTGTTTTTTGGGTCTAAAGCAGCGTTCTAGTCCCCTGCTATAATGCTCTCTGAGAGAGGTGTTACTTGCTGTCCCATTGCTAATACGAAGTCTGATCTTTCTGATGGGTTGTTGGGTGCCTGGATGTTGACAAGTCTGACATCCTCTTCTTTCCACTTCAGGTCCATCAGGCACCCACCATCTACCCGCCTTGCTATCTGCTTCCAGCCTTTGTACTGTACCTTCCAGGTAGAACCGGGATGACTTTGGTATAAGAATCGCTGTGCCTTTTGTAGTTGAGTTGTTGTCTGATGCCCAAATCTCATCTTTAACCCCTCCTAGTTTCCTTATGAACAATTTCCTGATTCTTAGGTGGTCTTCTCAATTGGTAAGGTGTGTCTCCTGCAGAAGAATGATTTCCGCCAGTTTATTTGACTTGTCCTTTAGTCCCTTAACTAAGTCATTTAGTAGTTTGTCTTCTTTGATGATGATGTTACCAACACCATTAACATTCCAGCTGCGAATAATAAGGCCTTGTGTTCTCCAGTTCACCTTTGAAGCCTTTCGAAATTGACTTCCTTTCTCAGCAAATCCATGGTTGAGCTTGTAAGGTGAAGGTGGTGGGACCAGAAGAACTAAAGCCTGTGTGGCGCCGGATCCCCCTGAGTCCGTAGAGTCAGAATCCTCAGGCGGGCCAGACTGGGTATTGGACAGGGATTCCCTTATTTGTAAGCTATTACATTATTGAATTATTGTTAGCATTATCAGTCATCAGTAGCAATGCAAGCTAAGAAATAGAGGTTGCGATTTTTCTCCATGGTTTTGTTTCTACCATTCAAATGATGTTGGCCAGTCAATACCAACGAAGATGGCATTCTCACCAGTGCCCATTTGCGACAACACTGAAATTCACACATGCAGACAAGACTCACCAGTACAGTTAGAATGAAGGATGAGAGTCGATACGAACGCAGATGGGGTTACAATTGGCCAATTGCTTGGCCGAACCAAGCAGATAAGAATACAAAAAATTCATATGAGATTGTCACACATCTGGATAAGACTTGACAGTACAGTTAGAATAATGTCTGTGACAGGTGATACCAATGAAGATGGCGATACCGGCGGTCGATTGCCACAAAGTGGCCAATTGCTTCTTTTTTTTTCTTTTTTTTTTTCTTTTTTTCTTTTTTTGACAGGCTTGCTCCAGTGACCAGTCTATTCGTGGGGAGCGGCACGTGCTGGGAACCGGGCCCAGCGACCCATATGAAAAACAGAACAGCTCAGTTTACCGGGGCGGCGGGGCCATTACCCGGCTTTTGCCAGAGAAAACAGGGATTTTGGAATCTTCCAAACACTCAAAGAGGTACTGCAAGAGGTTCAAGCGGGGGACACAATGAGGTTCTCACACAAGTGGATATAAGTTAGGGCTCACCTCACTAGCGCTCGCACTGCTTCTGTTTGTAATAATCACTAAGGGTGCATGAGTTAGCGCCGCCGGCTGCTTTTTGTCAAACACTTCTTCCTGTCACACCACAAGCCTGCACCAAATCAGTGAAATCACCAATGGCAACAGTACAGCAATGCAACATTTTTTTTATTTTTTTTTTTAATTTATTTAACAAATAGCATGCTTCATTATATATAGAGCACAAGGAGGCCGGGAATCCCTCCACATCTCAACCTGGAAGACTGGGGTCATTACCCAGATTAGGCTCATACTGGAAACCGGGCCCAGTGTCCCTTTCTCCTGCCAAGCTACATGATATTCCTGAACAAAGAGAAAACTGGATTAACAAAAGACCAATAGCAGTAGACGAAAAGACCTGCCAACCTGCCTCTAGGTTGCATTTAGGAGCCGAAAGAACTGACAATCCTACCCCCAGATTGCGCTTAAGAAATAAAAGGACGGAAATGAAATGGAAGAATTGAAACCCCTGCGGAGTGCCCCAACATGCTACACCCTAGAACATGCTGTCCTTTTATCCCAAAAAGCTCGTTTGCACTTAGAAAATGAAGGGGCTGAAATAAAATGGCAGGGCCAACACCCCTGCGGAGTATCCCAATATGCTACCCCCTAAACCTACCTCTATTTACCTCTACCTAATTTCTCCCTGCCCTCTCAGTTTCCAATTATCCCCACCTTAAACCCTAAACCCTACTGCTGTCGTTCCTCCTTTTGTTCTACCCCTCTGTCGGACTACATCTTATGCTTTAAGATTTTTTTTTTTTTTTTTTTTTTTTTAACAACAAATCCCACATCAACGCTTCCTTCCAAAGGACCCCTGAACAGCATTGATTGCTCCGTCCACATGGAGCTTGCCATACCTCTAGGAATCCTCTCAGCTATTGCTACACTTTGCTGTCGTAATAAATCTGTGAAAGCAAGATTCCTCAAGGACGGACTGCTGGATTGTACCATTCCTTCGCATGTAGTCGACCCCTGAACTCTTTTGCGATCTGTACCATATGAAACATCAGCTGTTGCCAGTCGCGTGTGTGTCTTGGTCGCTCTTCTAGGCCCAGATTGGAGTTAGTTCCTCCTGTACCTGGGTATTCCGCTGAGAAACAGATTGGCAGAAGTATGCCACTCTTTCCAACTTAAAACCTGCCCATTTAATCTCGCTACTTCATCACCAACCAGGCCCATTTGAATTTGGGAGCATCAGACCGGTTCCTAATCCCCCTGTAAGTGATAACAGTTCAATTTGCATAACTGATCTCCCCCACGCCCCCTTCCGTCTGGCCGAAGGGTCCCTGAGCAGCATTGATTACTCCAACCCCATGGAGGATTGCCTGTCAGCTTGCAATTCTCTGGGTTTCCTCTCCGATCATTCAGTCAGAATCTAACAGTTAGACAATACGGCAAAAAGTGAAAAAACCCAAAGACTTGCTGTTTGAGTCGGGCATGCTGGAATTTATGTCACCCTGAAGTCCTGTTGTTCTATCTGATCGGGAGTTGTCCTTCTTGGGGGACCGATGAGCTGTGCCAGTCCTTCCATCTGATTTTTTTTATTTTTTTTTATTTTTTTTAAAACAGGTCCTTATGGTCTTGGCTCCATGAGTCCATATCCATTCTGGGGAGCGTCAGTCCGGTTCCTATTCCCCCGGCAAGTCAAAAACGGATTACATCATATTACCCACTCAACGCTTCCTTCCGTCTGGCCGAAGGACTTCTGATCAGCATTGATTGCTCCTTCTAAGGAGGATTGACTGTCAGCTCTCCATGACCATTTGTTCTTCTCAGGCTTCTATTTAGAGCCTGTCGAATAAGTCCCTGTAATACGAGAACAGTGGGGGGGTCCGCCCTTCCATCTGATTTGTAACGCCTGTATCTCAGCTATCTTCCCCTGGACTAGCCACACTCTGTTAAAGCTTGTGATCAGCTCTTGCTGTTTCTCTGGATTTTGCTGAACTTGGAGTCTGACCTTCTTCCATTGGCACCGGATGTCGGTCTCCATTAGCAATTTCGTGGTGGCCCATACTTGTTCAGTCGGATTGGTAGTCTTGTCGATTGTCCTGATGCATCTCTCCTTCCAAATGACCCACAGCGTAGCCTTCCTGATTATTCCGAACCAGATGCGTTCCGATTTGTTGGAGAGAGAGGAGGTGTTAGTCCATAAGAGACGTTGGATTGGGTGTTCGGGTAGGGAAGAGGGGAATAAGTGGTCCCAGAGCACTGATGCTCTTGCCCACAGGTCAGTAGCGAGTTTACAAGTGATCAGACAGTGTACTATATCCTCCTGTTCGTTATCTGTGCATACCGTACACTGGTCCGAACTGTTCGGATCGTTGTTCTTTCTTCGGACATGAAGCCAGGCATCCACAGGGAGGGCGTTGTAGGTGATCAGCCATTGGAGACTTCGTATCTTGACTTGGCGCATTTACTTATACTTTCAACAAGGGAGTTCTGAAATTGGTTCTATTCTTTGTCCAAGCACTTTCGTCCATCTTTCTTCGATTACTGGCTCAGGGTCTTTGGTTCTCAGAAGCTTTCTGTAACCCATCTTAACTGTGTATTGTGTTATTTTAGAGGGCGTCTTACAGAATCCGTTAGCTTCTGAGGGCCAACCCCATTCTTCTGGGTCAAATTCAAGGTCTTGGATTGCCGTCTCCGTACGGAATATAGTTTTCGGCCAACTTCCCAATACTCTCACCTTTCTTAATGTGTAGGAGTTCAGAGTTACTTCTTGTGGGTCGGTGTTCTGAATGGTAAGGGATTTGGGGTTCAATCGATCTAAGGGGAAGGAGATAAAGACTCCGGCACGAGCCGAACCAGGAGATCTGCGATTGAATTGATACGCTTTCACTGGTACTGTTTCCTGTGTTACCAGTCCCCATTCCCCTGCTTTCCATGAAAAGTCTTCTTTCAATAGCTCTTTCCAACTGTTGGGGATGCTGTTGACCAGAACTGATAGATTCTCGTCCCGGCGGTGACAGCACTTTAGTCGAGCCTTTAGCTTATTCTCATCAATCCAGTCTTTTTTCTCTTCGTCCCAGATGTGACTCACCTTCCAAATCCCGTGCTTAATCCAGGAAAGCCATCTCTGACCTCCTGCTAACGACAGAGGCTGGTCTCCTTCGTCTTTAACGTTCTGGTTCCCGAAAAGAGGCTGCTGCAACACCTCTTCTTTCTTAACCTGTTTAGGCATAATCTCCCTCCAAATCCTGATAAGTGTTGTCCAGTAAGGCGTGCGGGGCTGTGCATCGTCTCGCTGCGAAGTTTCCCGGTGCCTTCTCCTGGCCGTTCTCAGAGCCCAATCCTTGTTCATTACCCATAAGAGACCTGAAATATTATCTGGGGTCTGAACTGGAGCTAGGGATCTAATACTGTCCAGCGCCGACTTGTGCCATGCTAGCCTGGGTTGGGTTAGTAGTTTAACAACTCATTTGATGTGTAGAGCCTTTGGTTTCTTGTCTGGGGTCGATTATCCCTAGTCCCCCTTTTGACGGGTACTTTGTTTTGTTAGGGTCACCTGACCAGAGGTATGCCCTCGCTCTGCTGTTGAGTTCCTTTATAGTTGGATCTGGTATGGTCCAGATGGAAGCTATGTACCACATCATCGAGAACACGGACGTATTGATTGCTAAAGCTCGTCCTAGCAGTGAGGTAAATGTGTTGCCCAATCTTCCCATCCTGCTTATTTGATTCGTTAGCAGGTTCTGTGCCATTTGTGGGGAAGGACCTTCCTTGGTAACCATGATCCCCAGGTATCTCGTTGGGTTATCGGGTCTCTCCCATATCATTTCTGCTTCTGGGCCTGTCATTGGAGGTAGTTCCTCCTCCGACAGCCACCACCCCACCGTTTTCTTCCAGTTTATCTTCATTTCTGAAGCTAACCTGAACGCTTCCATTGCCCTGACTATTGCTTTGACTGAGGAATCGGATGCCCTAATGAGGACAGTGAGGTAATCATCAAACATTATCACTGTTGGGAATTGGATATGGTGGGGTGAACCCGTGTTGAGCTCGAGAAGTCTGTGAATCAAAGGGTCTTTGCGCAAAAAGGATGCTATGGCTTCCATTACGAACAGGAAGATCGGCGGGGCTAGGGGATCCCCTTGCCTCACTGACCGGGAGATTGGATAACGGTCAGATAGCAAACCATTGACTTGTACACATCCTGATCCATCATTGTACATGACTCTGACCCACTTCCTGAAGTTGGGTCCCACTCCCATTTTCTCCATGCTTGCATCCAGGAAGGCCCAATTCACTTGGTCATAGGCCTTTTCGAAGTCAAAGAACATAATTGCGATATTCAGTCTCTTCTCCTTGACTTTCCTTGATGCTTCACTCAAAGTGAGGACATTGTCTAGTATATATCTCCCTAGGATGAGCCGACTTGGTCTATGTGGAAACATTTGTCTGTGAGATCCAGTATCCTTAAAGCTAGGGCTTTAGCTAGAATTTTGTAGGGAAGGGTAAGTAGTGAGATTGGCCTGTAATTCCGGATGTCTTCCCTGTCCCCCTTCTTGTATAGCAGGGTCACCACACTGCTTCTTAGCAGTTCTCCCATTCCTCCCTTGTCCCAGCTATCCTGATAGAAGTGGAGAAGGTCCGTTCCCATCAGCGGCCAAGCTTGTTCCCGAAATTCCTTGGTAAGACCATCAATTCCTGGAGACTTATCGTTGTTCATGCAATGGAGTGCCACTTTTAATTCATCTATGGTGATTGGTTTATCCAAGTTAGTTGCCTGTTCTGTTGTAACCGTCTTGTCCAAGAACTGCAACATTTTGGATCTAGCTTCCCTTACTGACGCTGGTGGAAAGGAAGTTGTCTTAGTCTCATATAGCTCCTTATAGAAGCTTTTGGCGATTTTTAACATACCCTCACTGTCGTTCCTCGTGGGCTGACCCCCTGATAGCCTGACCCCCTGATAATTCTTTGAGTCCTTCAATTGAGTTCGACCTTTGGTTGGCTCTTATTTTCACGAAGAAGAATTTGGTCATTGATTTATTTAGTTCGTACTCTGTCATACGTGCTCTTATTTATTATCCTTTCAGTTCCCATTGTCTCCAGAGCGCCAATTCTTCTCTTGCATGTTCAAATGTGGTCGAGTAGAGGGCTGAGGAGGGTTGATCTATAAGATTAGATTTTGCAATCCTCAATGCTATTTCCAATGATTGTTTCCTTGCCTTCCTATCCCTAGCTAATTTCCTCGACAAACGGGCTACCGATTGTGATAGTGAGAGGTAACTATCTTGAAACCATTTCCATTTGTCATGTCCCTCTAATAACATTCCCTTGGAGTTCTGCCAGCAGGTTAGAACTCCTCGGAAGGAATTTCTTAGGAGAAGGGAGTTGTTTAGCTTGTGAAAGCTAGATCCTTTGGTAATATCCTGGTCAAAGCTGAAGATTAGCTCGATTGGTTTGTGGTCCAGTCCTGCATAAGAAGCCAGTGCCAAGATGCCGGTCTCTTTAATTGTTCCCATTAGACTCTCAGAGACGAGAAAGTAATCGATCCGGGAGAAGGCTGTGTGTTGTGCATGGTTCTTCTTCACCACCGAGAAGGCTTTCCTGCTTGGGTGTAGGATCCTGAATGGGTCCATGACACTGTGGTCCAACATAAGTTTGAGCACAAGAGCTGCTTCTTGGGAGGCTTGTGTGACGAGGCTGAGGCAGAGCAGCGAGGTCGGGGAAGAGAGAGGGAGGGAGTGAGAGCACACACACACACTCACGCAACTCGACACGGACTCGACACGACTCGACGGATGCAGACACAAAGTGGCAAAGTGGCAAAGTCGCAAAGTCGCAATCTTGATTCCGAACACAATGTCGCAGCAAGTCACACTGAAGCACAAGCACTAAGGCCGAGAACTGAATCCCCGAACTCAGCATGAGTCCGGTCTTAAGTACCGGACTCAAGTTGAGTCCGAGGGCAGAAGTGCAATTTTCCTCGGGGCTGAACTGAAAATCGAAGGTCTGAGCCTGGGCGCCAGAATGCCGGATGGCGCCAAGTATCGAAATCTGAAAGTGCCAGAGGCGGGATTTGAGAACGGGCGCCAACTGCAGAGGGCACCAACAGTCAGGAACTGGAGATTAGAGACTCAAAAAAAAATAGAACAGCTGCCTGGTAGGTGGTAACCCGCGGACCAGGGATCGAGCCCTGGCTGAGTCCGTAACAGCTTGGGTGGCTGCTGCCCTAGAGATCCTATTATTGTTCGGGTCAAGGGTGGCATTCCAGTCCCCTGCTATGATGCATGCTTTGAGTGGTGGTACGAGCTGTATGACTTCTTCTCTTTCTGTTGGGTTATTCGGAACGTAAATGTTGATGATTCTACATTCCTCATCTCTCCATTTCATATCCAATGTGCACCATCTCCGCGTTTCATTGTCCGCATCCTTCCCTAACACTAGTCCTGCTGTGTATAGTCTTGAGGACTTAGGGATCAAGATCGCTGTGCATTTTGTGCTAGAGGTACTGTCTGAGGCCCATACTTCGTCCTTTATTCCGCCTAGCCTTCTTGTGAAAAATTCCCTTGAGGCCCATACAACAAAATTTCTGGGAAAAAAAAAAAAAAAAAAAAAACGAACCACAGAGTACACAGTACATATTGACAAGGCTCCTGTCCTGCACCAATTTTAACACTGGCAGCAGTAAGGTTCAACCTATCGGACCACAAAGGCTGGTGATGCCGGGCAGGCCCTTGCCTCCTCATGGCCCCAGCATTCCAGGGCTGAGAAAAGCTGAGCATCTGGAGAACAAGAAGCTCAGGTGTGCTGGTGGCTTAAATAAATGAGAATAAAATGCCAGCCGAGGACTTTTCACTACCTCTGACAATACCAAAATCAGGCCATGCAACTGTAACAGACATGTCAACAGCTGTTGCCCTAAAGCATCGCCCCACGGACCGCAGCCATGTAGTGCCACTATCCTGTGTGCACGTATGCTGGCAGTTTTGGAGTAAATTTAAAAGTGATTCAATCATTCAATACATGACGGCAATCTGCAGTAAGCCAAAACACACTGTGATTTGTCAATTGGCAAACAACAGAAATGCCGATTATAATTTATAATCCAGCTCAATGCCAAAACAAATTATGATTTGTCATTTATAATCCAGTGGATGAAAGGTAAGGAGATTACCTATGCAGTTCTATACAATTTGGAATTATGGTCAGAATTCTTGTTGACAAACAATCAAGTCCGAGGTCAACTTGGTAGGAACCGACCCTGGGACTCAGTGTGAAGTCCCATAAGGTCAGGTGGTGGTTGGATTGTACATTCTGCCTCTCACGCAGGCATATACATAGGAAGGGATTCGCAAATCGAGTGGGTAAAGGGAATGATAAGAGGGATGCAAAAGATTAGGACAAAGGTAAAGAGGGGCCAAAATGCATGGCAAAATAATACTTACGGGGAGGTGATTGGTGCGGTAAGCATACTCATCATTGTTCCCACGAACAATCTCAGTTATTGTACAGTCTTGACAGTCGAGCCAAAGAGCCTGATTCACACAGTACAGATAAGCACGTCACTAACTTGTAGCACTCTGCAGTCATCAGGTCAGTTTCGATCTCCTCTCTCTCTCTCTCTCTCTCTCTCTCTCTCTCTCTCTCTCTCTCTCTCTCTCTCTCTCTCTCTCTCTCTCTCTCTCTCTCTCTCACGGGGGTTAACATGCCATGTCCTTCAGGGCTCGGCCTACCGAATGGAAAAGGCTGGCAGCGCCTGTACTGATTTGGCAAAACGTGACGCAAAGCAGAAATTGGCATCGGAAAAAAGAGGCTTGGTAGTACTGGTGGTTTAAGTGCGCTTCCAATGTTTGAGGATTTCCATTTTGTGACTCCATAATTTCATTGTTGTCCATCTCCCTCCAAAGTTTGGAAGCTCTCCCAACTTCCCCTCCATCGTCCTCTGCTCAGTTGCAACGCAGAAATTGGCAATCTGACCACCTCTTCCTCCCAGAATTGAACAGCGTTTTTTTTCAAGCACTGGCACACAATGAACTGACCAAAGGTTGTGGAAAGGGAACCTACCGCCATAGCGATGGCCTCTTCAAAGACACCCCCAGGATTGTTCCGGAGATCGACAACTGCAAACAACAACCACCACAAGTCCAAGTGTATAGCACCAGAGTTATCACATAGGTGAATGAGGCGTACGCGTAAAACTTGCTGCTGGTTAACAGAAGGCAAGTCATGAGACGGGCACATGGGAAGAGATCATAAGAGTCCACAGCTATTCGACCATATATCGGATTATATCCATGTTACAGTGATACCTATACTTAGTTGTTGTTGGTTAAGGTATGAAGCAAACACCAAAAATTACTGCAGTGGACAGACAGTCTCCTCCGAGGCTCCGACAGGTCTTCACTGCCTCCTAGCCCACTCACCAACTCATTAACGGAACCGAACCCGGTAAGTTTTCATGCTACCATTGAGGAACAGAGCTTGACTTTCCTCACAAGAGATGCACAACTCAGCAAATTGGACTCAATGCGTGAGGATTTACTATTACCGTGAACGCATTGAGAACCTGGCCTGCGATACGAATATCGAGATTATCACTCTGCCGCCTGCTCAGACACTAATGCTGTTTCTCAATGGATCATTCACGAGCATATAATGAGAGCGTCATAGATGCATTTCATCAAGGAAGAAAAAACACACATAAAGCATGAGAGCATCATAGATTCCTCAGAATGTTGTGTCAATGGCTTGTCATTGTGAAAAGAAAGTGGACTGATGCTTCCCAGAATAGACAGAGTAGGAGCTGTAAGGATCACAAGAACAACAACGGCAACACAAATGAAACTGTTGCTGTCCTACCGAGTCATTCTTCTTGAGGTGAAGAATTGCAAAGTTTGCTATGCGTTAATGACACGGTGTTCTACATGCCATGGGGTACTGAGATCTGAGGTGTATGAGAAGAGTCGGTCGGTGTCCAAAATTGCAATCCAAGCCGGGTGCCATGTTGCGCTCCATGGCGCCCGGCTTAATGCGTGTCCGAAGAGCACAAGCATGTAAACGGCGTATCTTGCCATGTCACAACTGCTCATGCTAACATAACTCCGCGCAATCCAGCATACTACATTGCACGATATGATTGTTTCGGCCTCCTCATGACTGTTCACGCTAACAGCAACGACGACAACAACGCCGCAACTTCACCTAATCCGCCACATCATGTTGCAACTTGTGATTCTACAGCTTTGGGGAGAAAAGGGTTGGAGTAGGACAGTATGCCATTAAGTTCCGTATTTAACCGCAGAGTCTGACAGAGAGCAGACTGAGCAGTCCTAGTTAGTTGAGTTAGTAGTCGCCACCCAGTGACCCAGATCTTCTTCTTCTTCTTTCGTTTTTCTTTTTTTTCTTCTTTTTTTTTCTTTTTTTTTTTCTTTTTTTTTTCTCCAGTGACCCAGATCAATGTCCAACAAGCTGAGAAATAATCATCATAGTTTAAGCTGTTTAACACTGTGACTTTGAAAACACAGTCTTCTTCCATTAATAAAAAATAGTATTTTGCTACGATGGTTTGCAACTTTGCATGCATACCTGCATTCCTCAAAGAGCTTCCACACTGGTGACTCAGTGGTGAGCAATGAGCATGGAGTCAAGGAGCATTTTTCCACATCTTTTCCATCCTTGATGCACATTACATACTCAACCTAGAACATATGACGAAAGGAGAAAGGCCAACAACAGTGCTTTTTCTTGTGAGCAAAGCTAAATCAGGACTTACTGTAGCCATCAACACCGAGTGCCTCGCCTTCCTTGATCGCGGCCGCCATTTCCTTCATCCCTTCATCTGTGAAGTAGTGGAGTCGTATGTACTTGACAATTCGCTGGCCATTCTGCCCAGTAATATTCCTCTGTTTCATTGGTGGCAAAGCTAGTTTACGCCTTTCAAGAGTAACCCTCCTCTCAGGTGCTGCAGGTGAATCGCCGGCAATAACCAACTCGACCTGAATTTTTTTTTGAAACAGAAAAGACATCAGTCAAGCTTTGCAGGCACACGGTGTTGCAAACTACCCTATGATCAACACTTCAAGAGTTCAAAACCTTGTACAATACTTTATAGTTCTGCAACTTCCGTCTGGATCGGCAAAAAAGAGCTTCTGTTTAAAAATCTGCCAGGAAGAGTTTGTTTTTGTCATAAACCCCAAGAACTGATGCGTCCCAGACAAATTTTATGAAAAAAAAGTTAGCATGGAAAAATACAGCAAGTCCGCCCAGTGGGGGCAGCCTAAAGATTATACCCCCCCGGCGATTAAATATAAAACCTTGGAGACGGAATGGGTGGTTCAACTGCTCTTAAAATTTCTCAAACTTTGGCCTCTTGGTGGCTTGGCCTTTATTTCTCACTGTGAAGTTTGAACTTTGAACCATCCTCCAAAATGTTCAAATTTTTATAAAAATGTTCCGAAAAGTTGCAAAAACTTCCAAAAAGTTAAAAAAAAAAACACTGTTTGGATCAACTGGCGCGGAAAATCTTTCCAAAGTTCGCGACAAAAAGGTAAAAGTTCCGTAAAACTAATTGATCATGGGAAAATGTTCCGAAAATCTTGCGAAAAAACTCTTTCTTTGGGGCAGTAATTACTAATTTAATATTTTTTGCCAGTTTTTTTAGCTGTTTCCATACTTCTTCATATGGAGACATACATTAAAGTGTGGGCATTTCCTTGTTTACGCTGCAAGGATCCTGCGCAGCGCAATTTGCAGTTTTTTGGACTTTTTTTACCACTACTGCAATCGGACTCGACTCTTTGACACTTTTCATGCACGTGAACAGTAGCACGACAAACTGGCGACATGCGCCCACACAATACACAGAGATATGGCTTCCAGGTAAGTTCGCTTCCTCTGGCTATGGCGACTGAGCGCCCAACATCCACTGTTCACACACTGGATCACCCTGGATATCCCACACACGACACTCTGTACACGCACACAACACACGCACACCCCACTACAGCTATGGCAGCGCTAGCTGCCACTACCCTATCGCTATACTACACTTCTCTGCCCACTTCGACTTCGGGCATACTGCAGACCTCCTCGCACAGGACGCTGAGGCAGCGCTTCCGCATGGCTTCCGCAGGAATGAATGAATGGCTGTGCGCAGCCTCTTGATTTATACTTCTGTGCCTCGTCGGTCTGCCCTGTTTCCCTGGCCGCCGATGTGCACAGTCCCAGACGGTACTTGCTTGACTGGACCGGACTGGCTGGACTGGGACTGCTGACTCTGCGTGGTGGACTTCCACCACTTGCCCACTGGCCTCTACCCAAACTGGGGCTGACTCCGAAAGGCCACTTCTAGAACTATCTGTTTGGCCTTTCGGTACTGTAGCAGCTACGACTCTATCCTTTCAGGTAAGTAGCAGCTACGACTTTGACCCTTCAGACAGTCTACAGCTACGACCTCTGGACTGTCTAGACTCCTACCCGACAGATCTACAGTTTGAATCCCCTGTACCATGTAACCTACGAGATCCTACCTACCACTGGCGGTCCTACAGGTCACAGGTTCAAATCTACGGGTTGACACAGGTATTGTACACAGGTAAGGCTGGGAACTAGGGATCGAGCCCTGGGATCTGCATCAGTTACTGCAAACTGGTGAATACCGTTTCACTCCCGCCGGCCTAAATTCGAGGTCCTCCGAGAAAATTTCAGTCCAAGGCAGGACCTTTACCTTTCTGTTGCCTCTCGTAGGCCCGGACTATATCGGGAGCTGTCTCCCGCCGACCTTACTGCAAACTAATTGATCATGGGAAAATGTTCCGAAAATCTTGCGAAAAACCTCTTTCTTTGGGGCTGTAATGACCCGTCATCACACGGACTGTAACAGACAGCTGATTTCTGAGTTTGCTCGTGGAATGCATGCCGTACTAAGTCCCCTGCCTGTTGAGTGGGTTGTGTTGGGTCTGAGTGCGTGCCTGTATGTGGTTGGCGTGCCTGGGTGATGAATGCGTGCCTGACTGAGTGCTTGAGTGTGTGTGTGACCCCGTCGGGGCCATGGATGCTGGGCAGGCCCGGTAGGGCCGGTACTTACCTGTGGCGTGGCTTGTGAGGGGT